TCAGGGCAAGATGGCAGGGCAAGGGGCACAGTTAGCAGAGTGTCAACATTTAGGCATTTAGGTTTATTTCTATTTTTATTTACTTATTTATTTGGTGACTCTAGGAACTAGCTCAGATATGCAGGCTGCAATAGCTATAATATCTAGCTCCCTGCAGTAGGAAAAAGACTCATGAACTAATCTGATAAAAGATTCCTTTCACTCCTTCCTGTTTTACATGTCGTGCTCATTAGCATGACCAATAAAACCATAATTTGTATTCTCCATCAAATCACACCACCAGCAGCTGAATGACATGGCCACTAATTAAAAGCAGAAATTGAATACAGCAGACTTGATGTTTTGTTTGACTGAAGAAACAAGAATAGATTTGTATTGACCTCTTGTTGAAAGGCACACATTACAGATATCTTGATGCAAGAGTTTTCATCAGAGGGTCAGTCCCAGACTTGTTTTTGTCTTTACCGCCTCTAGAATATTTCTGGAAACCAACCACTTAGGTTGCTAACTCTAAGTTCTTGCACTCTATGAGGGCACAGAGGATATTTTTGCCACCAAAATAGTAGTACAGCATAGTAATTAAAAAGTTGAGATTTGGAACCACATAACCTAGTTTGCATCCAAACTCTTCCCCTTGTTAGCTCTGTGACCTTGGGCTGCTTGTTTAACTTCTCTAAGCATCAGTTAACTTATCTATAAAATCAAACAGTAATAATAGCTGCCTTATAAGGTTATTATGAGGATTAACTAAGATAATATGTGTAAGTCTAAGCCCATGGCTTGGCACATAGTAAGAACTTACTAAATATGAATTATTATTGTTGTTTTAGCTTAATTGGCTCCATTTTATACCAAGTTATTTGAGGACCTAGCTCCCAAATCTTAGTTTAGTAGCTCTCCAGTGACAAGGACTGTGTCTTGTTCATCTTTACATGTATAGTGTATGGCATATAGAATGCTATTTTATACTATGTTGGCGCATATACATAAGAAAGACTAAAATTGTATTCTCTTATATAAGTAATCTGTCATTTATTTGTGGTGTGATTTTGTTCAGGAAAGGCATAGCATACTGCCAAAGTTTTGAACACTATAGTTGTAATTTATAGAGCTGCAGGAATCCATGTCATAGCAATAGTTTTCACCCTTCTTGTCCCAAGGAGATGCTCTCCATACATAGCATTCTCCAGGAGAGATACTCAGCATCAAGAACAACGCTTATATATTAGTTGTAACTCTAGTCATATTTCTTCCATTTGGGAATGTAAGTTATTATGCAAATAATCAAGAATGACCCAGTGATAGGATAAGCTTAATTAATTTTTAAATCATTTTAAACATTATTATTTTAACTATCATTGATATTGTTACATGGTGACTATATCAAATTCCTTCCATGAATTTTTTGAATTCTTCAAAATTCTGCAAAGTCAACACCTTTAATTTCTCACCATTTCCTTTTCACTTAGTCCCTACTAGCTATCCCCTCCATGAAACTCTCTGTTCTCTTGGTTTTCATGACACCAATGCTACTCTGTTCCTCTCCACTCAACCAAAACTCTTAAAGGATGACAGTGACTACAAATTATGTCTTGTCAGTCTTCATTCTCTCTACCCTCTAAACAACATTAAGTATTACAACTATTCAATCCATGAATGTCTCTTTTCTTTTGGTTTCCTTAACACCAAAACTCTCTTGCTCTTCCTCTTAGCCTTCTAACCACTTCCGACTCCAGTGATGTGCTTCTTCTCCCTCCTCCACCTCCAACCTTGGGATTCCCCAAAGATATTTCCCAAGGCTCTCTTACTTTCTCTCCTACTCTCCCTTTCTTGGGGATATTATCCATTTCTGGTATTTTCACCATCACTTTTATGAGTATAACCTCTGCATATTTATCTCCTGGTTGACCTCCCTATCCCACTCCGATCCCATGCTACTAATGCTGCTGGATCATTTGGAAGTTCATCTGGCATCTCAAGTTCACTATACCTAAAATATGTATTGTTTCTCCACTAAAACCAGCTCCTTATCATTATTTTTGTCAGTAGGTATTATACTTATCTTAGGCAGTCTTAAAAACCTTTAATTTTTTTATAAGAGGTGGGGTCTTGCTCTGTAGCCCAGGCTTGAGTACAATGGTGTAATCATGGCTCACTTACACACTTGACCTCCCAAGCCCAAGCAGTCCTCCTGCCTCAGCCTCCCAAGGAGCTGGGACTACAGGCACGTGCCATCACACTTGGATAATTTTTTAAATATTTTGTAGAAATGAAGACTCACTATGTTGTCCAGGCTGGTCTTAAACTCCTGGATTCAAGTGATCCTCCTGCCTTAGCCTCCCAGAGTGTTGGGATTATAGGTGTGAGCCACTGTACCTGGCCTTTAAAAATCATTTGAGTTAATTCTGGTACTCCTTTTTACCTCTACCTTTCTTTCTTTCTTTTATTAATCATCCCCTTTATTTCAATAAACTGTTTCATGTTGCCTAGGCCTCCTCTGCACTGTCTACTTTTCTACTTCCTTTCAATGGTACTGCATGGCTGTAGATACAGTGAAGAACATGGTACAAGCATCACAGTCCAGCTGAGGCGAGAAGTGTAAAGGCATTAGTTTCAATACAATGAGATAGAAGTAACAAAGAGATGCATCCCAGGGAAGAGAAGACAGGTAACACTTCTCAAAGGGAGTGACATAGAAGCCAAATCTTGAAAGATGCATAAGAGTCAGACTGGCAAAGGCACAATGAACATTTGGAAGTAATAACACATGCAAGGGAATGCAGGCACAGAAGACCATGACTCACTGCTGAAGTGCAAGTAGCTCTGTAAGGCTGAAAGTGCGTCATGGAGGAGTAATACAGGGAAACAGAGGGTCATGTTCCAGAGGTAGTGGGAATGGAGGGAGAGTGTTTAGGACATGATTTCAGTTATTTGTTGGCCATGTAACAAGCCATTGTACATCTGCATGCCTTAAAACAGCTTCATGTATTTCTCGCAGTTCTTCAATTAGGCAGCAATCTTTCGGGGTGGTTCATCTGTGCTCCATGGTGGCATATGTTGGCATGGTTTGACTGGGGCAGGAGAATCCAGAAGCCTCACTCACATGTCAGGACAGTGATGGCTGGCTGGATTTCTCTTTTTTTCACATGCTCTCAAAACTGAAGTACATGGAAGCTATGTTTTATGAGGGCAGAAAATGGAAGTTGTAGAGCTTTATAAGGCTTAGGCCCAGAAGTCACATGACATCCCTTCCCCCATGTTCTGTTGGTCAGAGCAAGTCCCAAGACCAGCTCAGCTTCCAGAAAAGGAGAAAGAGACCCCTGCCTCCCTTTGGGCAGAGCAGCAGGAATGTGAAGGCTATGTCGGCAGGCATCTTTGCAGATGTTCAATACAGACCTTATAGATCTCTGCATTCTGTAAGGAACTATTGTAAGATTTTTAAGCAGCATACTGACATTTTAAACGTGGATGTTTAGAAGTATGTATTTGGCTTCTTTATAGAGATTGAATTCAGAGGTCAGGAGCCGGTACCTGGAAATAGGTTAACCTCAGAAAATTCTTCTCTGCATGCCCACATGCCTTGCCACAGTTTTCCTCCTCTTGGAAGCAGATGGAATGAACAAAATATAGCTGATGTTTTTTCTTTTTTAAAGCAAAATACAACCAAAGTACTGCCCAGGACTCTGTGCTCATTCCAGAAAATTGGACTCACATCTGTTATGGGGGACTAAATATGTAACACCGCAAATCCTTTGCCTAAAGCTTTTTGTTTAGAAATAATGCTACGTTACAAACTAGAGTGATATAGTTAACAATAATGTGTTGTATATTCCAAAAGAGCTAGAAGAGAAGATTTTGAATGTGCTCGCCACAAAGAAATGATAAATTTTTGATCTGCCAATTGTTCTGCTTTGATTATTATACAATGTGAACATGTATCGAAACATAAGACTGGATTGCATAAATATGTACCATTATTATGTGTCAGTTAAAAATAAAATAAAACTTTTATTGAAAGAAATACTACTGCTTGCTTCTATTATATTACTCTTTCTATAAATAAACCAGACAAGTCAGATGCGACTTTCAGGGAGTGCAGAAATCTGCTTTGTATTTCCAGGGGCTTTTTCTGTGTAAAAGCATGTGAGTGTATGTGCCCATAAAGCTTGTGAGGGCATTTTATTTGTATGCAAAATGAACGCCTTGAACCTTGCCTGTAGTCCCCGCTACAGAGGTCTATAGGGGCAGTGCCTATGAAAAAGCCACAAAAAAATTGGCTTAATTTGAAAGGTTGTATTACATCATCACAGTACTGAATCTCCTTCATGAATAGCAGTTTTAGTGTGTAGGCAATTGTAACTTGAGCAGAAGAGAGCAGACACCTAATGCTCATCAAAGCTTCCTAGAGCAAACTGAGTTCTAGAGTCTGGGAATGGACAGCAGATGGTCCTTCTGGTTTTCAGGGATATGTATAGTGTATAGCCATTTCACACAGGGGTTTCTGGATGTGGGATTTCAATCTATGAAGAAAAGAGTCTCCCTTTATTGGTACAAGAACCTGAGGATGAGGCGGGAATATGGTCCCTCCTAGTCAGTGTTCAGGTACTGTCTCGCCATCACTAAATATTTTATTAATACTATGGTGAGCATCAAGATGATGCCACCCACTCCCCACTCCCATTGGCACCAAGAGGTCAGTAGCTAGAAGGCAGGCTCTTTCAGAGAGTTGGTCTCAAATCCCAGTTTTTTGCCACTTCCTAGTTACATGACTGTGAGCAAACTCCTTAACCACTCTAAGCTTTGGTTTCCTTCTCTGTAAAATCTCAGTAATCATTGCACCTTCCTCAAGGGATTTCTGTGAAGGACTAAAGGGAATAATATTTAATTGCACTTAACCCAGTGCATGCTACCAGTGCTCAAAAAATTTTAACTGCTGTTGTTTTAATGGGCTTCCTGCTGACCTTTGCTTTTTTTTTTTTTTTTTTTTCTTTATTTCTCAGGGAGATGTTAATCTCTGTGGCCCTGGGCCAGGTGTTATCCCTCCTTATTTGTGGAATTGGCTTGACTAGCAAGTATCTGTCAGAAGATTTCCATGCCAACACACCAGTCTTCCAGAGTTTCCTCAATTACATTCTTCTCTTCTTGGTCTATACCACCACACTAGCCGTCAGACAAGGTAAGCTCACAAAAACACCAGGAATATAGCTTTTACAAACACCTAAGAAAAAGATGAGCCATGACCAGATAACGTTTTGTCACTTACAGCATCAGTTAAGATCTTTGAAAACCCCAGATCTTACTTTTCTATTTTGCAGTAATATAGTAAACAAAATGACTGAATAAATCGCAAAGAAAATTAATCATATGAATTCAGCAAGAAGTGGGAACTGCATGTATAGGCAAAAATGTACAATTTCTCACTTTTTGAATCCCTGTTAACATTACTTCTACCCTCTCATTGGAATTAAATGAGTTTTTCCTTGGAACTTGGAATAGACCTGATGCAGATATTCTAAATAATGCTTGCTCTGAGAAATCCAAGGGAATTTCAGACAAATATATGTTCTGTGGGAAAGTGACACAAGAAAGATACAAATTGTAAACACAGACAACTCTATTAATAACATCACAGAAAAAGAAAAAAAGAACACTACCATAAATGGTCAAATGAGATGTGAAATTATTTAAACTTGAAATAATTAAAGAAATAAAACAAGTCCTCCAAGAGCCAATGCAAGAAAACCTTTTTTTTAAGAGGCAGTTGCCTTTGAAAAACCTCAGGGTACATCCCTGGAGGGGATGCTTCAGAGTCATATGATATGCCACTGAATCCAGTATGCTGTGGTTTGAATGTCACCTCCAAAACTCATGTTGACATGTAATTGCCACTGTGACAATATTAAGAGGTGAGACTATTAAGAAAGATGGTGAGCCTATTACTAGGCCATGAGGGCTTCACCCTCCTGAATGGATTAATGCCATTATCTTGGGAGTGGGTTCCAGCTAAATGTGGGTTTGGCCCCCCTCTTGCCCTCTCTTGCTCTTTCATGTATGCTCTTGTGACTGTCTGCCATGTGAGGATACTGCAAAAAGGCCATCACCAGATGTGAGCCCTTTAACCTTGGACTTCCCGGCCTCCAGAACCATAAGAAATAAGTCTCTGTTCTTTATAAATTTTGCAGTCTCAGGTACTATGGAATATGTTATTCATTATAGCAGCACAAAATGATCTATGACAAGGTGTAAACACTTTTATCTATGGCTCAGAAATAGCCATCAATTTTCCCCAAAATAGTAGCTGTCAACTGTAAAATGTACATTGAAAAAAATCATTAATACATTTGGAGACAATTATTTACATTAATAATAGATAAGGACACATGTATAGCTGTGTGCATCAATTTTAATAGTCACACTTTTATGAAACATGTACAAGACTATTTATCAGTATTTAATTTTTACATTTATCTATCTGGATTACTGTCCAGAATAATAATGCTTAATTATAATGATTTGACCAATCCTGGATTTCATCTCATAGGAGGAATAAATATGAAGAAGTTGAGACTGAATTCCAGTTTAATTTTATATTTGTTTAAAGTATTGTAGAAGCTAATTTTATTTAATTCTCAAAAATTGGTGCTATCAGTGCTTGTTTATTAAAGTTTAACATCAATAGACATCATTATTTTAAAAATAAAATCTCAGGCCACTGAAGTTATTGACATTGAATCTCAGCTATGTTTCCTAAGTGTGATTTGGAAGCTAATAATTTTGAATGATGTAAATGGGTTATCTAAAGTCTCAAAAAAATAAAAAAGAGTCAAACTGCATAAAATATTTGAAGAAATTTATTCTGAGCCAAATATGAATGACCATGGTCCCTGACACAACCCGTAGGAAGACTTGAGAACATGTGCCCAAGGTGGTCAGGGTGCAGCTTGCTTTTATATTTAATACATTTTAGGGAGACCTGAGACTTCAATCATTTAAGAAATACTTTGATTTGCAAACACCACATGTTCTCGCTCAGGTGGGAACTGAACAATGAGATCACTTGGACACAGGGCGGAGAACATCACACACCGGGGCCTGTTGTGGGTTGGGGGGCTGGGGGAAAGATACCATTAGGGAAAATACCTAATATAAATGATGAGTTGATGGCAAACCAACATGGCATATGTATACCTATGTATCAAACCTGCACGTTGTGCACATGTACTCTAGAACTTAAAGTATAATAAAAAATAAAATAAAAAAAGAAATACATTGGTTTGGTCCAGTAAGGCAGGACAACTCGAAGCAGGGGGCTTCCAGCTTATAGGTAGATTTAAAAATTTTCTGATTGACAATTGGTTGACTTTCTCGACAGATCTGGGATTAATAGAAAGGAATATCTGGGTTAAGATAAAGGATTGTGGAGACCAAAGTTCTTATTTGCAGAGGAAGCCTTCAGGTAGTAGGCTTCAGAGAGAATAGGTTGTAAAATGTTTCTTATCAGACTTAAAGTCTGTGTTGATGTTAATGCTGGAGAGGTATAATGAGGCATGTTCAATCCCCACTTCCCATCTTGGCCTGAACCAGTCTTTCAGGTTACATTTTAAGAGTGCCCTGACTGAGGAGGAAGTCCATTCAGATGATTGAGGGGGGACTTAGAATTTTATTTTTGGTTTACAAAAGTTATCCCCATCATGTTACCATTGGTGCCTCAGTCCTGGAACAGACTCCAGGAAGTGAAGAAATAGGGGAGAAATATAATTAGAAATTCACTTATGACAGACTAGAAATGTGTAGCTTGGCCATATAGAACTAAGCAGTTGGACTTAAAAATCACTCGATAGAAGCTTGAATTAATATTAAAAGAATATAATTTTTAGCCCAGTATAAGGAGTATAATTAAGAATAAGAAGATTAAATTAAGAATAAGTTTTGTAACACTTGAATATTACCCCCCAAGAATCCCATGAAAGTGAAGAATTTCTCTTCCCTAGTCATTTTTAGAACCAAACAAACTCTACTGCGAGATGGTACATTGTATTTAGTCTTTGAGTTCTTGTACCTCTCACTTTTCAAGAATCCAGGGATTTAACAAAAACTTGAATGAGGAACAAAAAAAAAAAGTTAAGCCATTCTAAAGGGCAGGGAGAATTATTTCAACCATACCAATAATTTACAGGTAGAGGCTAAAAAAGCTTAGAAGATGAAATGTAGTAAAATGCCTAGAGTTAGTAATTACAGTACCATCTATTGAGCCTCTATAATGTGCCAGCCACTGTGTATGTAAATTATCCTTTTTATTCCATCAATCCAAGGAAATAGGTATAATTATCCAAAATTTTATAAATGAGAAAACCAAGGTTCTGACAGCCCAGGAAACTGCTTGAGGATATAGGAGAGCAAAGAGTAGAGGTCCATCCAAGGCAGGGCTGTGAGGACAGTGTGGCTTCAGGGCCACTCTGCCTCTCCTTGTGAGGTGCAGGGAAGGCAGGAGGAGGGAACAGAGACCCTTCTGAACAAAAGGAAAGGTTTTTTTTTTTCCTTTGAATTTCAAAACCCTGAATAGGAAACCAGCCCTCTGTGTAAGATGCAGTGAGATACCACAGTGCGGTCAGGAGGATTGTATTAGTCAGGGTTCTGTACAACCACAGGACTAATAGGATAGATGTATATATGGAAGGGAGTTTATTAAAGAGTATTGACTCAGGATCACAAGGTGAAGTCTCACAATAGGCTGTCTGCAAGCTGAGGAGCAAGGAAGCCAGTCCGAGTCCCCAAACCTCAAAAGTAGGGAAGCTGACAGTGCAGCCTTCAGTCTGTGGCCGAAGTGCCCAAAGCCCCTGGCAAATCACTGGTGTAAGTCCAAGAATCCAAAAGCTGAAGAACTTGAAGTCCGATGTTTGAGGGCGGGGAGCATCCAGTGTAGGAGAAAGATGGAGGCCAGAAAACTCAGCAGTCTAGTCCTTCCATGTTCCTCTGCCTGCTCTTATCGCAGCCATGCTGGCAGCTGATTAGATGATGCCCACCCAGATTGAGGCTGGGTCTGAGTCTCCCAGTTTACTGATTCAAATGTTAGTCTCCTTTGGCAACACCCTCACAGACACACCCAGGAACAATACTTTTCATCCTTCAATCCAATCAAGTTGACACTCAATATTAACCATCACAAGGATGTCATAGACTATTTAGGGAGAGGGTTGGAGGTGGACAGGCAAGAAAGACCAATGGAAAGAGGCTAAGGACTAGGAGCAGCAAGGAATTTGGAGGCTCTTTAGAAAGAAAAGGCTGAAGAGGGCTAAGGAAATTCTGACTGCCGATACCAGTCTGTGATGGAGATAATCAATTTCTGAAATACCCTCTGGAGATTTTTACCATCGCCTCAGATCATCACTGAGTTCGCTGACGTGTCTTCATTTGGGTGTTTCCTCAGAATGATTATTTGTTTTAAGCTTTATCTTTAGAAGTTTTAATAGGCTGGCATTAAGCCAACATCTGGAAATGAACATAATAATTACATTAATTTTCCATAGGCTGATTCAGTACTATGTTCTGAAGATATACTAATCTTTCTAGTCAGGCACCTGAAAATTTGGGAAAGAATGAACAACAAAGAGGGAAGGATGGAAAGTGTGGTGTGTGCAAGGGAGAGTCTCTCATAGTCACAAGTTCTCCTTTCTCACCACTCCCTGAGAGCTGCAGGTTAGGTCTCAGCCACGTGTTGCCACTCAGGGCCACATAACAGCATGAAGTTAGACTCAGAAATACATTTTTAAGCAAATCTTTCTTTATAGTTTTAATCATATATCTTCTAAAATTTAATGATTGTCACATTTAAAACAATGTGCTAAATGTAAGAAACCTTTCAAGAGCATTAAGGGTGAGGTTACTATGAAAGCCTTGCTTAAATTTGACTTCAAAGTTAAACTGAATTTTCCCTATCAAAATTTCACTGGACTCATGATCAAAGACTCTGAAGCAGCAGGCTCCAGTATAAGTTCCAAAATGAATTGGAGTTGAGTTTGCCCTTGATTATTAATTGATTCCTACAAAAATTTGGGTACCATCTTCCTTACAAAATATCATACCCGATTCAGCAAATTTTAAGTCTAGCCCTCTTTATAGTTGGAGCTAGGTGTTCTTCCAGATAGTTCTACAATTTTTAAAAAATGTTTACTGTTC